CACACACACACTCATACACTATGGACAATTTAGCCTACCCAATTCACCTGTACCGCATGTGTTTGGACTGTGGGGGAAACCGGAGCACCCGGAGGAAACCCACGCGAACGCAGGGAGAATATGCAAACTCCACACAGAAAAACCAACTGAGCCGAGGCTCGAACCAGCGACCCTCTTGCTGTGAGGTGACAGCACTTCCTACTGCACCACTGCTTTGCTCCTCAAACTTACATACTACACCCTAATATCAACTTTTAAATTATATTCTTTTAGTTGTATCATTAAATCAAAAATGTAAAAGTGTACTTGAGTACACTAAAAATATATTTAAATACATTTTTTAAGTACTGTCTTATTTTTTGTGCTAAATAAAGTGCCAAATAATTACACTATAAATATACTATACACTGTAAATATGCTAATTAATACAATGTTGGCATTTAATGTTGCAAATGCTTTATATAAAAAGTTTACATTTCAAACCTGCAGCATCCTTAACGTGCCCAGATTAAATGCTGGTGATTGGCTGCAGCGGGGCTGTTTTGAAAATCAATAGTTTACGGCGGTTACGTCCACTCGCTCATAGCTTGTCAAATGTGAGGCTTTAATGCGTACACTACTACACTTAAAAGCATTTTTGCATTGTTTGACTGCAAGAAGTCACAATTTTATTGTTAAATGTTTGCTGCCTTTTTCTACTGTGGAGAAAGATTAGATTTACTGGATGTGCATTTTTCAATCCCCATTAAAGGAACCAAAAACAGTCAAAATAAGTCCATGTGATATATGAAGCTGCGAGAATACTCCTGTGTGCAAGGAAAACAAAAACAACTTTATTCAACGATTTATCTATGGGAGGATCAGAAAGCTCTTGGATTAAATCCAAAATATCTTCATTTGAAGATAATTAATGACAGAATTTGAATTTTTGGGTGAACTAAACGTTTACGCAGCAGTAAGCGTCACAAATACTTAAAATTGATCGACTTAAAACTGCTTGAACTTTATTAAAACGGTTTGCACTAATATATTGTGTGAACTACACTTTGTTCATTTTGTGCTTTTGTTCCTTTATTTATTGGTCTTGATCACAAACATCCTGAAAAAAATAAAACCAAAGTTTCTCTGAGATTATGAGTTATGTAATCTTGTTAAAATGTATTTCTTAAAATAAAAGTATTGAAAAAAGTATCGTTTGGAACAGGTATCGAATTTAGGGTATCGGTATCTAAAATTTTGAAACGATACCCAGCCCTAACTACCTTCTGCGCCACTGCTTCACCCCTCAAACTTACATACTGCACCTTAATATCAACTTTTCAGTGGTACTCTTTTGGTTGTATCATTAAATCAAAAATGTAAAAGTGTACTTGAGTACACTAAAATACATATTTAAATACAATTTTCAAGTACTGTCTTATTTTTTGTGCTAAATGAAGTGCCAAATATTCACTATAAAATACGATAAATATGCTAATTACACTATAAATGTACTTTACACTGTAAATATACTAATTAATACAATGCTTGCATTTAATGTTGCAGATGCTTCTTATAAAAAGTTTACATTAAAAAAAATGTAAAATGTTTCAAGCACAAGAAAATAAAAATACGAACTTATTTTTAGTTGCATGATCTGCCGTGTTTCTCTGAACAATATGAGAAATAAAAACAGGCACAAAAGAGTCGTTCAGTTTGAGTATAAAGCTGTAAAAATGACCCACTGCAATCATTTTATGCAAAATTCTTGAGATAATATGTACACCTGGGATGCAGAGATGTTGAAGATGCCGTTTGAGATGTTTAGATGCATGTCAGATTCCCACAATGCACATGTTGCATTTATAAACGAGACATTAATGCACACGTTTAAACCTCATTCTCCTGATAATATACAGATCTAATATTACAGCTCTAATCTGGTTGGGATTTGTGGCGGATCACGTCGTTTAATGTGTGTGATGTTTATTCCTCTTTAAGTCCTGTCAATGATCATCATTTCCAGTTATAGCCCGGAGTAATACCTGCTGAGCATTAAAGCACAACGTGTCGAGTTCGTCTGGAGTTTATTTGCTTCGCTCTGAGCTAGTCATCCAGCTGTGTGTGTGCTGATGCTTTTTGTTTGTGGTGTTTAAGGATCGTGTCAGTCACTGAACACAAAAAAAAGATGTACAGCAGTGTCTCCATTAGAGATCTCTCGTTCATCTGATGGATTACAGCGTCTGTGCGCTCCAGTTTATCAAACACTCTCAACATCTGCTCAGCCTGTGATCATTATAATTACAGTGATTGATAGCACCACCACACAGGGGACCAGTTCAATCTTCTGCTTATGTGTGCTTGAAGTAACTTTTGAGCTTATTTTGTTGAGTGGTTGTCAGGTTGCTAGGGTGTTGGGAGTGGTTGTTAGGGTGCTGTGCAATTTTAACAGTATTTTATGTGTTTGTTATGTGTTTGATATAGTGTTGTAGGGGTGTAAACGGGTTGTTATGTGGTTGCTAGGGTGTTGGGAGTTGTTGTTAGGGTGTTGTGCAATGTTAACTGGTTGTTATGTGGTTGTTTTGTAGTGGTTAGTGTGTTGTAGGCTGGTGAAAGGTTGTTATGTGTTTGCTGTAGTGTTGTAGGGGTGTAAACGGGTTGTTATGTAGTTGCTAGAGTGTTGGGAGTTGTTGTTAGGGTGTTGTGCAATGTTAACCGGTTGTTTTGTGGTGGTTAGTGTGTTGTAGGCTGGTGAAAGGTTGTTATGTGTTTGATATAGTGTTGTAGGGGTGTAAACGGGTTGTTATGTGGTTGCTAGGGTGTTGGGAGTTGTTGTTAGGGTGTTGTGGGCTGTACATAGGTTGTTATGTGGTGTTTAGTGTGTTGTAGGCTGGTGAAAGGTTGTTATGTGTTTGTTATAGTGTTGTGAGGATGTAAATAGGTTGTTATGTGGGTGCTAGGGTGTTGGGAGTGGTTGTTAGGGTGTTGTGCAATGTTAACAGGTTGTTATCTGGTTGTTATGTAGTGATTTGTGTGTTTTGGGCTGTTGATGTTGCTATGTGTTTGTTATAGTATTGTGGGGATGTAAACAGGTTTATTATGTGGTTGCTAGGGTGTTGGAAGTGGTTGTTAGGGTGTTGTGCAATGTTAACAGGTTTGTTATGTGGTTGTTATGTGGCAGTTAGTGTGTTGTAGGCTGGTAAAAAGGTTCTTATATGTTTGCTATAGTGTTGTAGGGATGTAAACAGGTTGTTATGTGGTTGCTAGGGTGTTGGGAGTTGTTATTAGGGTGTTGTGGGCTGTACACAGGTTGTTATGTGGTGGTTAGTGTGTTGTTGGCTGGTGAAAGGTTGTTATGTGTTTCTCATAGTGTTGTGGGGATGTAAAC